ACACCTTGTATCTCCAAAAGGTTGACTACTGCCAATCAGGCTTACCCATCGTTAATTACCAATGTCAAAAGTCTGAAAATGACGCTCATCAGAAGACGTTTGCCGATAACATTATCTCTGAACTTTGCAGAAAATTGTATAAGATTTCATTTAATGCTATCTTCTTAGGGTTACGAGGGTAATCAAAGAGGCTGCCAGAACTGATGAATATCCTACGAAGACAGTGCTTCCACTCATATTTCACACTACTTACCAAATCTTGGGAATCAAATATGCATCTGTTTGCCATTATAAATTACATCTCACGAAGGACACTTTCGTGGAATTCCCTGATGTCCGCAGCGATCTCTTATGTCATCCAAGTCAGATGAATGGAGAAAAGTAAAGCATTTTCTTTTTAATATAGAACGCCGGGTGCCGTAACGGCTAGACGTTCAGAAAATGGAATCAAATGCTGGTTGTAACCGCATCTGAAAATAGGCGACCAATTTTTATTTATTGCCAGTATTGTTGTTAGGAAAGGCATGAATCCAGTGTTTCATGAATTCTGCTCCACTATTATGTATTATGACTACAAATATTAATATAACTATAGAAACAATCAAGTTAAAAGGGAACGAAAAGCAAAATTAAAAAAAAAAAAGCTAACTGGGTGTCACTCCCCATTCGTCAGAATTCAAATAAAATAGTTCAAATAAAACAAGTGAGGTCATTAAAGAAAGTTATAATAAATACATATATATATATATATATATATATATATATATATATATATATATATATATATATATATATATATATGACTTCTTACGTTATTATAGGACATCATTCGTATTTAAAACAGACGCCCCATTTTTATTCATTAAACAGTTTGTATTACGTCTATCGACCTAAGCATTCGAGAAATCTTAGTAAAAAAATGTGTTATTTGGCTGGGATCGAACCGCCATTTTCCTGTTCGACCATAAAGAACATGACGGCCAGCAAGGCTTTAATTTCTCTATCTTTCTTCACTTAGATTATATGTTCTCGAAAGCCAATGTCTGCTCTGTTTGTATCCGAAATGTAAACAAAGCAATGTCTAAAGAACTTTTTTATTGCTTCAAACTTTATTATAGTGGACGCTTTGTATTCGAAATAGACGCCACACTTTCATTTATGATTTATATTTTACGATTATTATATTATGATTTCACAGGTATGACGTTTGACACAACAATGTGACATCAACGTTTGTGTTACATTTTATCACAAACGACTGTAATTTTGACGAACATCTTAAGGTGATCATTCTGAAAAAAATATTCCGAATCCACTGACCTTTCAAACCTTAAAAGGCATGAAGATAATTACATACGCAAACTACTAAGGTCCCACCCCGGGTGAAATAAATAAAATAACAGGAGAGTTCCATAAGATTTTTGCTAAACCGATTAATTGCTCTTACTAACTAATCAAGATTCAAAATTTACGACCCTATCCAGTTACTCACATTTCAGTTGCATTCCATTCACGCTGGTAATGATTCATTTGTTTTTATTATTATTATTATTATTATTATTATTATTAAGACTGCTAGCTTTTGCTTCGGATATCATAATGCTAAATGCGATTATTGAGAGTTTCGTAATTTCTCTTGTAATAATGTTATGAAATCAATATTTTTGTTTCTCCCTGCCATTTTTGCTATGCATATATCCAGTGAGTGTCAAGTTCTCCAAGCCCTCTTTCCTCATTATGTGCTCTAGGTATTTCAAATGTCTCTTTCTGATTCTAAGTATAAGTGGCCTTTTTGTTTCCATTTTCCTTAAAATGACCTCGTTGTTCACACACTCCGTCCATTGTCTTCTCAGTATTTCTTAGGGAAGAGCCACACTTTTGTTGTCCCGAGGCTCCTCTACATCTGTGAGAAAATCGTCCAGCACCCACTGCCATACAGGAGGACTGATATTATATACCATATCAGTACTTCTTTCTTTGTTTCTAACCAACTTTTCCCGTTTCTTAATACTTTACTTAGCTTTTGGAAGGCATTTCTGCATATACTACCAACAAAAACGTGTTTCAGTCTTGACCAAACCATATATCTTCGAAGTCCGTCTTCCAAATACGGAAGCCAAGAAATCGAAATGTTCGAGTGTTGCTGAGTAAAAGGATTCTTTTTTCTTTTTTTTTTTTTTTACTATTTTTTGACACTGAAAAATGGTAAACTGTGTCAAAGCTGAATTTAGTGGACAACGCAAAAACATTCCATCTGACTTTGGTTTGATTAATAGTTAACATCTGGACCTTTTGGTTATTAGTTTCAATTCCTCTGGGATTTAAGTCGAGGCTCAGTTACCAATGAGATGGCAAAGAAGCTAAAGTCTAGGGTTCAAGTTTAGATCATGATTCCCACCCAACAACCTATCCTGAAAAACAAAATTACTTCTATTTTGCCGTCTTAAATATATCCAGCTCTAATTGCAAAGGGATTATGAGAAAGATGAGAAAGAAAATATAACTTGAGTTATATTTCCCATCGGACAGTAAATTACAACAAAATGCTTATTACTAAATTTACTTTTAAAGGCGCAACTTTTAACTCTTACCATACAGTAGAAAGATTTTTAAAATGGCTACGTTTTCAAATATGGCTTCTCAATAACTGACTTAAAAGTTTTTCGTTTTTTTTTTGTTTTTTTTTTAAGTGTTAACAACGAGAGATTCAATTTTTACAAACATTTTTTTCAGTTAATTTATTAGGAACGTGTAAACGTTTCAAGCGACAAACCGGTTTTTACTATTTATTCAGATTTTAGATTTCAGGGGAAAAGTAGATACACACGTCAGCCATTCACAATTTGGGAGTAGTTTTTATTCAATCTTTTGTTATTTAGTATTGCAACGCTCAGGTTGTTCTAACATTCTACGACCGTTAGGGAAGCAAAATGAATCAGAAAATAATTTACAATGTTTGAACGCGCAACCGGTAATCCTTAGGAATTAATCTAAAATGAGCAACATTTTTTTTTCCCCCCAATTTGGCCACGGAGAGCCGAAGTAAGCCAGTAATCAAAATAAGATTAATCAAAAGTTAATAATGACAACTCATTTCGGAAATTCATTTTTTAGAACATATATTTAAGCGTTTATTCGGGGTTTTCAAAAGTTCACAGGACAGAAGTTTTACGAAATTAAGAGACTATATAAACACTATAAATTTTCTTATTTTTTAATTTGACAAAAAAAAAATACACGAAACATTTATACATGCTTAACGTGTACTACTGAGAAGAAATGTTAACAGCGTTTAAATTCACACGAAGTACCCAGAATTTTGCTTTCTCTCAGCTTAGCTGGTAAATACCAAATGGCCTTATTTTATGTTAATTTTATCATAATAACTAGCTTAAAAGCTGCACTGTTGAGTGGCATTTAAGCTAGCACCTACGGAGGACTCTTGATTGAGCCTTTATCACAATAGGCAGGGAGGAGTAGATGCTATAGACAACAATAAACCACAGAACTCAAAATTTAAGTTTTGCATTAATATTTAATCTTACTTTTAAAAGTTCAACGATAATTCTTTTGCCGACACTTAATTTGAAGACAATTTGATGTACGTAGGTCTTTACTTTCCGTACAAACAATTGTTTTATTTCATGAGCTATTGAAAGTTAGAGAGTTGTGTCCCTTTAATTGAAAAAGTATGACACAGTGATACTCGGACATTCGCTTTTATTATATAGAAGAAGAAGATGAGCTATTCAAAGTTAGAGAGTTGTGTCCCTTTAATTGAAAAAGTGTGACACAGTGGCACACTGACAGTCGTCTTTATTATAGATAGATTATTATATAGATGAATATAGATGAATGAGAAATCAACACATCAACAAATTGACGCCAGGATATATATATATATATATATATATATATATATATATATATATATATATCCAAGTATACCCATCATGATACACCGTTTGATAATTGTATACCGAGTACATGCATCGCATTTAAATGTGCACGATACGATGTAGAGCATAAACTTGCAGGTAAGGCCCAGTTAGACATACCTTCAAGTCGAGTAACCTAGTCTAGTCAGACAAACTCCGAATTATAGTGTTTCCAGGTATCTAGATGTGACTCCCAAGTTGCTTTAGCTGCCTCATCTTTCAAACTTCAAAAAAGGGAGAAAATTGTCACCCGGCGATCCTGAGGAATATTTTTTTTTTGTGTGTGTGTGCTATCTTTTTTGTTAGGATTATGTGTACAAAGAAGCGCTAAAATGTTCTTAGTCGGATCCATTTCCTCAAATCCGACAAAAAATCAACATTTACCTAAGAATCTTGGTTGGGCCGAGGAGTTCTCAGTACTGAAATTCTATCTATTCGGTTTATAAATCACTTTTTTTTTCCGGTGACCACTTTTAAAGATTAGCAGCTGACTTTTCGATTTCGTTCAACGCAGACGATATGGTAGCAAAGGAAAGCGAGTAGAAAGGACTAACTATCAGTTGTAAGAAGAGTTATAACAGATATTACAGAAAATCTATAGATAACTGCAAATGGTAAACAAATAAGAAACGGAAAAGAATCGTTAATAGCAAAGAAAAGAGTAACGAGCGGCTATGTAATATCAATCCTCTTATATGGCAGTGAATGCTGGACAATTTCCTCAGAGATGAAAATGAGAACCTGAGGCAACAGGGATGTAATTCTACGGAAGGATGACGAGAGTACCATGGACGCGATGCGTGAGCAATGAGGAAATTTGAAGTGAGAACAAAAAATAAGAAAGAAAACTGCAATGACGAAAGAGGGCTTAGAGAATTTGACACTCACAGAACATACTGATGGCAAGAAAGGGAAAGGGAAACAACCTACTTGACGAACTTATATAATTGGATTGCTAAACAGGAACTGCGATAGAAAGGGGACAGACTTATAGAGGGTAGGAAGTTGTGGAGTGTCGTCATCGTTTGCGCCCTGAAGAGATACGACACATAAATGAAAGGCTTACGCTCATATCACGTTGAAACACCGGTTCTCTTACGATCACCAAAGTTAAGCAAGGTCGAGCCTGGTCAGTATCGAGATGGGTGACGGTGTGGGAATATCAGCTGTTATAAGCTTGGATGTGCGATGTGTAATGGAACTGAAAATCGGACTTCCAAGTTTCAATAAGAGTTGTGTTTGTTATATTAACTTGGAAATAGATTTTTTTCCTCCCCAGCTATGGGTTAAATAGCATCACTTTTATCAGTAAAGCATTATTATTTTTTTAAATTCTTACAATCCAAGCATATTTTCTGGCTTTAAATAACTTGCAAAAGGGTGATAAGCTATAAAAAAAATTAACGATATGTGATACTTACAGCAAAATGTCCAGTGATACAATGCATAACTCTGTGGCTAGATGAGTTAAAATTACCCTTTAATAAGAATCTGATGTTTTTAAGAGCCCCAAATATATTAGCAATCAGTTGAGAAATGAACATCCTTGTATTAACAGACGACATTGAATATTTATTTTGTTAATAAAAAAATGAACCTTAAATATCAGAAATCTTTTTATCTCATTCTACAAGCGAATAACGCTGAGTAATAAAAAAAAACGAACCCTGTATCTTAGAAACCTTTTTATCCAATTCTACTCGATAATTAAGTGTGAAGTGAAACAAGATTACAATGAATATTCATATTTTGAACGATGATTTTCTGCATTTTGAAAAAAATTCTCGTATATTAACGGATTACTCACGTTGTTGCGTGGATTTGACAGTTTGAAGTATCAGCAAGAAAAATGCAAGATATTTTTTCCGGGATTTTAAAATTATTTCTTTCCTTTTTATATTTGGGTTGGTGTGCTATTTATCTTTCATTAATTCTATTTATCTGTTTTTGCTTTTTTAAATTACTTCTTTTTTTTTTTTATCTAAAATCATTCTTTCTTTAAAAGTCATTTTTGTCTTTACCTATATTTCTGTCTTTTAGTCATCACTATCCTATCGCCCCGAGTCTTTTTTATGAATTTCATTCTCTTTTTGCACCCATCTTTTTCTTCTATGTGCCGTATCCATTCAGAACGTAGGTGATTATGGCTCTTCACAATTTCCTCTCCTTTCTAACTCTTAATAAATTTTATCTTTCTGTTATCTCTAACAGAAAGACAAAAAAAAAAAAAAACATATCTCTCCGCCATCCACTTACTGAAACCCACTAGGGAATTTATGCGTTGTTTTCTCAATCTCTCTTTGCCTTCAACCTGTCCTGTGAGCATCATATTTTCCAGTCCCTCTCTTAATTTTATCTGCCCTAGAAATTTCGACTGTCTTTTCCTGATGTTAAGATCCCCCATCTAAGGACTAAAGAAAAGGAAAAATAATCGAGCACTAGTTCCAGCCACGCCATTTTTGGTTTTTCTTCACATCCCTTATAGTTCCATGATTTTGCTTCGATCTTTGCATTTAATTCCACCTACCACTTTTTTTTTCACCGCTTCCCTTCTACCTTAAACTAAAGCACACCTTAATCACCTGATTTGATTTCGACCGATATAATCTCGAATTTTCTCGTCGAAACAGCCTCGGCTAATTTGATTGTAATGTTGCACAGGAAATAAAAACACGTTGTAGTAAACATAATTACGTTGATATTTTCCATAGCACTAATCATATTTCGTTTGAATGGAAAGCAAAAAAAAAAACAACAAAAAAACGAAATGTTTTTGAACAAGTAGCAAATTGAAAGTATTAAGTACTATTGGAAAATTATTTATGTCCTGATGTTCTTCGAATCGGTACTGATGATGTAAATATAGATATAAATAAATGGGAATATACGTACAATACTGCAACATTCAAACGAGCAGAGACGCTGAACGCAGCATTACGTAAAGAAATTTAACAATAGATACGTCATAGGATACGTGTATATTATACATATGTAGATACGTGCTGACATTAAATCAGCGTGGATGTAGATATCAATACGATCTGTCTATACATACCCACAGATAGTTACACATTCATAGATAGCTAGATAGCTAGCTAGCTAGCTAGATAGATAGATAGATAGATAGATAGATAGATAGATAGATGAACAGACATAGATAGATAGATAGATAGATAGATAGATAGATAATGAACAGACATAGATAGATAGATAGATAGATAGATAATGAACAGACATAGATAGATAGATAGATAGATAGATAGATAGATAGATAGATAGATAGATAGATAGATTTCAAACGTATCAATGAATACAATAGACAAGGAATAGTCTTTATGTAGTTTCAAAAATATGGAAAGGTCTAGGTCTATTGTCCTTTGCGATATTTCTAGTACTTTCCTCAAATTCTCTGGCCGAGAGAGCGAGGGTTCTCAGATTGAATACATATATGTAGAAATATGAAAATAGATCTATAGCTATGTAAATAGGAATACGCACACGCACGCACGCACACACACACACACACACATGTATGTCATAGATAGATAGATAGATAGATAGATAGATAGATAGATAGATAGATAGATAGATAGATAGATAGATTCTATTCATAGATAGATAGATAGATAGATAGATAGATAGATAGATAGATAGATAGATAGATAGATAATGAACAGGCATAGATAGATAGATAGTGTTGTGGAGTACAAAACGTTAGGAACTTGGAAAATAAGAGTCAATGGCGCAGCAATCTAGTTGGTTGGTACTTCAAATGTCCGAATCTCGACTGACGCGCTCAACACCGTTCTGCCAGACTTGCCACTGCTACTCCTACTTATTATCTATGGGAGAGTCCATTACAATAGAATAGGTACTATGGCACAACAGCTAGCTAGCTAGCTAGCTAGCTAGCTAGCTAGATAGATAGATATCAGAATATGTTCAAGGGTATGAATCTATCTGTCCATCTATCTATCTATCTATCTATCTATCTATCTATAGATAGATAGATAGATAGATAGATAGATAGATAGATAGATAGATAGATAGATAGATACGTATTTTCTACCATTATTACCTGGAGGATACCCGTTGAATATCCTTCACGCTTGCGCTAGTCTTCTTATTAGATTAAGAGCAGTGTGCGCATTACTGACTTCATCCTTTAAACCAGGGTAGCACTTTGACAATTATGTCCCATGATCGGAGGTTTTCTGTTATGGGTTCCCTCTCCAAGGAAGATAAGCCAGATGTATATATAGATGTGTGACTATATAACACGTTAAAAAGAATTAAACTGTGGCTAGCATAAAGATTAATTTTTTTTTTTCCGCTATAAATAAAATAAATGTCATGACTGATTAAGAAGAGCGTCAGTTTTTATAATTAAATAACGCTTTGGTTTTTAAGAGTTGAAAATGTTCAGAAAAATTACAAAGCTTGTTAACTTTATACACTTTGTGTTCCATTTAAAGAGAATTGATACATAATCCGAAGTCATATTTATATGACTTGAAATTGTGTTTCTTTTTGTGTAAAAACCACAAATATCCATTACAAAAAATACGTATAAAGTTTATGATGTGCGCAAATGAGATTTTAATGGCTCTGTATAAATGTTTGTCGGGTGGGAAAGCTTATTCGACCTTTTCTTTATTGAATGAATTAACCTATTTATATAAGTATTTTCTCGTCACGGTTCTAAGTTATGCTTAGTTAAGATATGATTTTCTTTCAGTCTCTTTCAGACACATGAAGTGGTTTTTAATTTCTTAATTAAATAAAGCTTAAACGTTTTAAAATGTTGGCTGTCATTTGATTAAATGGAACTAAATTTTGAGCCGCTCCTAGTTTCGCATACATATGTTGTTACAAGAAATCATTTTTGCAATGAGGTATTGTCGTTTGTCTGAAATCTTAGAATTACTGATACACATTCAGGCTGGGATCAACGTGTATTATCGGTTCTTCAACTTTTTCTCGTGTTTCTTTCATAGGACAATTCAGGGAAAACTCTTTGCCTGATCTCGAGAATTCTAGCGCATTGCCCCAAACATAGGAGGGTCGGTTTAATATCCACATCAATGTGACAGCAATTTTTGGGTTCACCGGGTGAAAACCAACGTTATAAACGACATTTTGTCACATTTTGCCACTAACGAGAGGCGAGTAAATAGCACGGTCTTCAAGCTGGGATCAATGTGTTGTATCTGTTCTCTGTGGTGTTTATGCCTTCGGACTGTTCGTAAAAATGCTTTGAGGAATAGCTAGTTCCGGGGATTCTATCCATGTGACAGTACTCCCCCCCACTTACACTAAAGAGAGAGGATTCGGTGTAACACCGACCCCGGCGTGACAGTGGTTACGGGAACAGGGTAAGTTTTGTGCTTGGCCCATACGTACGCAAATTGACATCCCACTTTAAAAACAACCTTGTGTTACATCTTGCCAATGTGGACAAGCTAATAGATAACCCGAACTAGGATAAAAGTGATGTGTCTGTTGTTTAACTCTCTGCCATGTTTATACTCTCGGACAGATCATAAAAAAGTGTTTTAAGGGATGATTGGTCCCAGGGATTCATCCATGCAACCATCACTTCCCTCTTTACACTAAAGAGAGTGGATTGATGGAAACCTGACGCCAAAGTGACAGTTGTCGCAAGAACTGGGCAATTTTTGTACTTGGCCCATATGTACGAATGGGCACCACACATTAAAAACGTCTTTATGTTGCATTCCACTACTGGTGAGATCAAAGTGTAGAATCTGTTCTTACTCCTCCCTTAAATTATGAGGGAAGTCTGGTTGGTTTTTCATTGCACTAAATAGCGAGGTGTTGATGGATACGAAGTGTCATGCCCCACCACCGTGAATACCAGATCAAAATGTCCTCCTCTCTAATATATTAGAGTAGTCTTGCCTGAAGGATTCCAATGCTGCGACAGCACATCCCTCATTGCACTATTCAGAGTGAGGGGTGGGTCAGTATCAATGTTAGCGTGACAGTTGCTGCCGGAACTGGGCAGGTCTTGTCCTTAGTCTATATGGATGCTCATGTCCACCCACCATTAAACTGACCGTGTGTTCAGTTCTGCTACAGTTTTAGGTAAATACTGACAGAGAAATAACAATATTCTCCGGGTTCGGTTTGAAATTCCTTGAAAGATATAA